AGGGATAGTAAGAGATGTTATATGTTAAAAGTACAAAGGATAACGTGGTAAGAGTTGATCCAAACAGAAAGGAATATGCCAATTCACTAAAGAACAGAAAAGATGCTTGATATGTTTGGGAAACTGTGTGATGAAAAATCAAGAACTGTTCAAAATACTCTTGACAGAGTTTTCAGAAAAAAATTGTAAATTTCATTGTATTTTTCAGTATTTCTTTCAACACTGTGGTATATTACAGATACATAAATTTAATACTTTTTCAATTCAGTGTACATTTATAATAGGAAATAAGTGCCTTTAAGGCTTGGACAATAATCTTCAGAAGACAAATAATAATTGTGATTTCACACTAATTATTAATATTGGTTTCATTGTTTCAATTTAATGGTTATTTATAATCTAATACTACCATACAAAGCCAGAAATGCCTTTCAAATTTTTTGAAGCAAGCTTTGGAGGATATTATGCTAAGGAAAATAAGCCAGTCTAGGACAGCTACTATATGATTTCTTGTATATGTTGCATCTAAAATAGTCAAGCTCATAGAATCAGAGACTGTAGTAGTGATGGTGAAAGACTGAGGAATAGGAAATGGGATCATAAAGTTTTAGTTACGCTGGATGAATAAGTTCTAAAATATCTAATGTACAATGTAGGACTTTTAGTCACTCATAAAGCATTGTTAATTTCAACTTTCTTTGGAGACTGGAGTTCATATTAGCTTCCTTACATCAAAACAAAACACAAAGTCACAAGGAAACTTTGGTGGGGAGATCTTTTAATGTTCATTGGTAGTATACTTCCTGGCAACAGTATCAATGGCTGCTGTGGAGAGTCAAGTGCCATAAAGAGATTTTTATTTTCTGATCACTTGTACTCCGGTGAGAAGAGTTAATAAAGTTTGTGTTGCATGTTAACTTCAAAACTCAAAGGTTTTGACCAAAAGGAAAGTGTCAACCACTACGTTTGCCTGTTGTTTCTACTTTCACCCTCAAATATTCTATCAGTGGAGAAATGGAAGCATTAGCATCTCACAAGGAATCCTAGAAGGAGGACATTGACCCTACTAACCCTTAACATAGCTTTTGGCCACTCCAGCATCTAGAAATATGTAAGAAAGGCATGAGGAAACTACAGGGATCCTACACCTCCCACAACTTTCTTTTAAGGGGGCAATACGATGTAGAATCATCAAAAGTATTGATCCTCTTTTCTATTTCCTTTCATGGAAATCACATAGAATAGTTTAGAGTAGCTGAATTTGACAATAATTCTCCTTTTTATTTCCAATACTATTTTGCTGAGACTCAGCAAGGACAACATAGTTCTAAGGTCTAAGATGTTTTAAAATATGAAACTTGTACTCCTGTGAGTGCTCAGAAATTGGAAAATACATAACAAAATCCTTCAGAGAATGATTGTGCAGTGGGGGGACTAGTGAATCATTTACGCATACCAGCCTGAAAACTCACGTTTTTTGCGTTCCAAAAACAATCGCTACTCTGAGCTTGAGTACCAGACCAAAAATGAGACCTCCAAATGAGCCCATGAGTTAGTTTCCTGTTATTGATAGATGGGAATTCAACTGCTGTAGTGACATTTCCTATATTCCATGAAACATAGGGCGTGGGGTTTTCCAACAGAACATTTTTCCCTTTAAAAATGATGATGGAGGAAGTGTCGGTCCATATCATAGTAATGTATTGTAAGGCATAGAGTCAAAAACTTTATTGTCTTCAATCATACGTTACTTAGATTTTAGCCCAATAGAAAGTATATTTTCAAAACTACCCTAAATGGGAAGTGGTAAAGAATAACCTGCCATACCTCCAATCATCCCAAGAAGAAAGTTCTAGTTAAACTTGGAAATGCATGAATATTAATTAGCCAAATGCGTTCCTTCTCAGCAGCATCACTGCTTCTGTCATCCAAGTGTCGCTTAATATTACCACTAATTAATATTTTCAGAATGAAATACATAACCACATTTATTATTTAAAGTCTAATTTTCTACATACATTTTATGACTCCAAGTTATCAAATGGATGATTTACTAGCATAGTTTAGTATGCTTTTAAATAGGCTTCCAGTAAAAGGAAGAAATGAAGATCTGTTCTAGAAATTTCTTTAGTTAGCAAAATTTTTTATAGATTTACAAATGCATTTCTTAAATACTTTGGTTCTTGGTCTAAATGTTTTACTTCTAATTTTCGATTGTGCTTTATTATATCTATATTATCTGCTAGTAAGGTAGCTCATATAAATATGTAAGTATATGTTATGGATTTATGTTCAAAATTCTTAATATTAGAAATGTTTAACTAAAAATTTGATGACCCCTACATTGCAGAAATTCTCATTTGGAGAGTCTATTATTCATGTATTTTGTAAAGTTGAATACAGTCATACATCTCTGAAATAAGAGTGTTGACCAAAATTTTGTTCCATATAAAAACTGAAAGGATGAATTTCTATGTGTGGGGCAATACATAATAATACCTTTTATGAACTGAGCCACCTAATCAGCCAACCTACCCACAGACTCTCAATCCTTGTGGAATTACTATTCTTCATCAATTTGAAATTTTGGAAGGTATAATTCATGCAATGTGTTCTGAAAAAATGTGTTCACTTATGGAACTTTAAATGAACGAGTGAACTCTGCTAGAGAGATGTTTAATGAAATATCTTTGTCCAAGTTATCTAACATCATGAAATGGAAGCAACAATTTGAGTGAATTTGTGATTTTCCTAGTTATACTATGTCACCATGGCAAAGCAAGCATATATAAATCACCAGAGTATATACCCAAAGTCCTTTCCCTCGGATAGAATTAAAGTGTGATAATTTTGAGACAGCTAGGACACTACTAGTAAAATTAATATTTAATACATATGGTAAATCTAAATTTACCTGGAGAAAACCAGGATGCCAGGCCCTAGGGTGAGGTGAGCCTAAAACCTTTAAGTCCAGGCTGCATTCTCTGCTAAAAGGAGGAGCACGGAAAACAGTAGCTCTGATAATCAGTGTCTTGCAGAATACTGCAAGACTGGCAGGAGACAGTGGCCTGGTCATAAGTGCAGGCTTCCTGCTCTGTGGGAAAGTGTCTTGGTCAACAACCCTTAGCTCATCTCCTTGCCCTGAACCAATAGCTCAGCTATCCCTGCATAAGAGGAATAGGCCAGGTTAAAGGTTTACTCCTGAGCTAAAAGCTAAAAGTTCACCATACTTTTAGCTCTAAGAAAGAAAACATTGTGGCCAATAAATTACAGGATGGGCATTGATAACCTTGAGTAAAAGTTTAAGGATCATTCTGGTGCCAACTAACAGACTAAATGTCCTGTTTCTTTGCACCCTAAATTTTTGTATGTGACTATCATATCCCACATGACTGCTAGTTCCTTGGGATGTATAAAAACCATCTGAATTTTAAATAAATTGGCTTGTTGAAAAGACACAGGTCCCAGGGTCTAAGACTGTCGCCGATCAAGTCCCTCTCCCCCGAAGCCAGTAGGTCCTCCGCTAAGCAAAGCAAAACCGAGTCCTGACATTTACCCTCAGTTTCTCTATAGCATAATAGGCATCAGTTAGTTATTCTTGACTACAGATAACAGGAATGATTAGATAAATAAATGCTGTCCATTTTATATAGTAATTATCTTAAAAAGCAATTAGTATCACAATGTAACAAAATGTTAAAGTAGGTCTCTTTCTGTCTTATTTCCTGCCCAACTAAGCCCGTACTGACTTTACCTTCCCTGGTTCAGAGTGAGAAGCCAGAACTCCCCAAACAGACTTGCAATACAGATAGAGAGGAATTTCTTTTACAGCATGTAAAACTTAACTTATTATAAAATGGGTTACAAAAAATAAGAAACGGGTTGGAATGTGGAGGATTTCTTGTGGGCCAATGTGAAATAAGAAAGGGACCTAGCAGTGTGGTATTATTTTCAATCATGGCAGATCTCCTGGAGAGGTGGAAAGATCTCAGAAGGAAAGGCAAGATAAACAAGAAATCCTTAATTCTTGAGGACATGTAATTATCCACATCAAAAATTGCTATGAGACCAAACCCTTTTTGATGGAATTCTCAAGAATTCCAAAACACATCCCACAAAGGAAAGAGCCAGCCTCAAACACCTACACCAGTGCCAGAAAGACAGAACATAATCAGACTTGCTCCTTCTCTGACCTCTTCCAGTGGAACTCACGGCAATGATACAGAACAAACAGCTCCTTCCCTTTCTTCCCCAAAGAGGAGACCAACTTGAATCAGACATGAGTTGGAAGGGGAAATATGTTCATTTGCAGTAAATTTCCTGAGATTAAGAAAAAACTTTACTATTATTTTATTATTGTTGCATATTAGTTTACTGTGACTTTTGGGGATAAAAAAGTCAGAGAAGTTTTTAAATTTTTTTTCTGCACTACACTAGAAAAGATGCAGGTTTTGGTGTATTTTCATTCAAGGACAGAAGAAAATAACAAGTCTCCACAAACATTTGGAATAAAAAGTGGGATAAATGAGATAGTTATCTAATGTACATTATAAATCTTGCTTATTCCAACTTCAGTAACAGTAGCTAAAACTTATCCAGTGTATATTATATGCCAAACAATGCTTTACATGTATTAAATGATTCCATTCCAACAACAACAACCAATAAGATTATTGGACTGACTCATTTGGTGCTGCAGAGAGGTTGTATAACATGCTTAAAGTTGTATGATTTGCAGCAAGAGGCAAAGCTACTCATGGCTAATTCAAGTGAATCAGAATAAAATTTCTTTCCACAAATTCTTCTTTTCTTTCAAACTTACCAGTTACTGGATCTCTAAATGCAAATCACAATCATATCAGTTTCATTAACATTTTGCAGAGACACGTGGCTACATGTGATTTGCTATATTTTATTTTGAGAATAAACCAGTGGACCGCCATAGAACACTGTTTTCTTGAATATACATTTTTCACTTTTGCTTTTTCCTTCTTTTGTAGGTGTGGGCAGCCACTACGAACTCAAGTACAGCTGAAAGGCCGTGACCTCCTTACTCTTAAGAACTTCACAGGAGAAGAAATTAAGTATATGTTATGGCTATCCGCAGATCTGAAATATAGGATAAAACAGAAAGGGGAAGTATGTGCTATGGTTATTCTTTCCTTCCATTATTAACAGTCAACCTCTCAGAGGCAGCTTTCCCAAAGAAAGAGGGAAAGGAAAATACATTTAAATTCCTGATCAGTAGCTAAGTAATGAAACCTCCCAGTCAAGGCAATTGATTATCACTGAGAGTACAGCCTTGTAAATAAGCATAAAAATCATTCTATGACAAATCACTGCATTTCTTTTATGTGGAATGTTAAAATTCATTAACTGGATCTGAACCTGAGAAATAATTTCTCTAGAAAGATTTTATTCTTACACATCCTTTTTCTCTCTGTTTTCTATCAATTAAAAATAGAGGCAGAGGAAGGCAGAACTCTGTGAGTTCAAGGGCACCCTGGTCTACATAGTGAGTTCCAGGACAGCTGGGGCTACAGAGAGACCCTGTCTCAAAATGACCAAAAATAAAAAATAAAATAAAATAAAACATAGATTATATATATATTATTTTCTCGCAATACAATCGGTTTTGGATGTATATCAGATATGTGATTATTCGGATAATATCGACAAATTCACAACAAAGTGACTATTTAAAAAATTGCAGTTGCTAAAAAGAACAATTAAGTGCTAGCCAAATAGGAGAAGAAATGGGATGCGGTGCTTAGCTACAGATATTGTTCTGAATTCTGAGCAATTTATGTTTTGAAATGCTTAATTAATGTGGTAGCTTCATTTGGAGTGCTTAACTGTGAAAGCAATTTTGTATTCCAAGTTTATTCAAAAGCTTTTCTACAGAGCTGGTTTCAGGTTGAGTACATCTGATATGACCCTGATTGTTTTATCTAGTTGACTAGCTCCAAAGAACAAAGTGAGAACAGGAGACACCCCAACTGCTATGGCTTGATGTTCACATAGAACACCGGGAATGGAGAGAATAGGGCCTCCTGGGATCTCAGCTCTTTGCCTTTCATAGTTTGTGAGGAAGTTTCGTTGGCAAGGGACCAGAACTCATCCTTTTGGGAAGTCTGTCAATACAAGAGGAAGGAAGAAGAGCTCCACCCCATACCCAGACTCTCAGGATTCTTTTCAAATGACTTCCAGAAACTAAGCCTTTGTGTTCTCTCCCATGGAAATGAGTGATGAACATGAAGCTGAAAAATTGAGGCTTCATCATAGAGGTCTTATGTAAGACCTCTATGGTCTCATGACGTGACAGTGTAGGGTCTTACCAACTGAGAAAGCACCTCTGAATCAAGCATCTTCAGTCAAGATGATGGTTACAATGTAAAATATTTTCCTTTGGAATAAACTCCTTAACTGAACGCAGAGTAATTAGTAATACTTTACCCTAGAGCATAGTGGCACACACCTATAATTCTAGCACTTCAGAGGCAGAGGCAAGAGGATCAGGAGTTCAAGGCTAGCCTCTGCTGTACAGCAGCCTTGAGGCCAGCCTGGGTTATGAGACCCTGTCTTGAAAAAAAAAAAAAAACAAAGTTTATGGCCTATTTTATTGTTATGAGACCCTGTCTTGAAAAAAAAAAAAAAAACAAAGTTTAATGCCTAATTTAATGTCTACAAGCTATGTATATTGAACATGAATAATCTTCAAATTCAAATTTTAAGGAATATTGTGATCACTTATTTAGAAACAAAAATTAATTTATCTGTATTTCTATTAATGGAAAGAATATGTTCTGAGTGCTAGGCAAATGGCTGAGTGGTTAAGAGTACTGGTTGCTCTTGCAGAGGACCCAGATTCCATTCTTAGAACCCACATGGAAACTAACAACTATTCATTATTCATAACTCCAGTTCCAGAGGACCCAGTGCCCTCTTCTGGCCTCCGTGGACATTGGACACGTGTGCAGCACTTACATACATGCAGGCAAAACACTCACGCATGTAAAAATAAGAATAACTAAATCAAAAAAATTTTAAGAGACTATGTTTTGAAACATAATCCTTGATAGTGGATGTAAAATATACTCTCCATTTTAATTGTATTTTTGTCCTTGGTTTTCAGTATTTGCCTTTATTGCAAGGGAAATCCTTAGGCATGATCTTTGAGAAAAGAAGTACTCGAACAAGAATGTCCACAGAAACAGGTGAGTCCACTGACAAATCCAAACTTGTGTTGAAGAGCTGGCCTGGGGATGAGGACTTGGGAGGCCTAAGCTAATGGGAGAGCTTTCTGTGTGTCTTTAAGCACGAAAAGCAAACATTTTTCACTGGCAGCAGCAGCGCAGGGTTTCTCTCAATTCTTGTAAAAGTGTAGACAGAAAGATTAGCTTCACCTGCAGGAATTCTGTGGCGACTAAAACCCCCAGATACCACTTCAAGTCGAGGATAAAATACAGGTCAGCACAGGACCAAAGGCCTTAAATTCATGCAAGAAATGTGTCTGTTTTTAACTGTGAACTTTTTATTCTGTGCCAGTTCTGTCAGATAGTGGAAGCCTAACCTCTTCTGCAATAGGCAATCCTCAGTTGTCTTAGGGTTTACTTTCTCCCCTCAGGTCTCCCTCCCTCTTTCCAAGTGTGGCTAAATGAAAATGTCTAGATAGCTAAGGATCAGGGATTCTGGCCATTGGTCATTAGGGTACCATCTTCAAATGTTTGTACTGGAGGCTCCAGGGACTTCTGTATATCTATTGAATCTGCACTTCAATTCAGGGTTTGTTTCACTTACAAAACCTCGTAAAGATTCTCTTGGTTTAACTCTCAGACACATCATGGTTCTCTACACTTTGCTGGAACAGTGGAGATACTGAAAGTTCATCTCTACCTAATTGTTCCACCCTGAAGTACTGTACCAGCATGTTAGAGCTCTGTCTTAACAGTAAAAAACATATGCTCTCAGTAGTAGAGTTCCCCAAATTCATATGAGGGTTTTATGTTCTCCAGTGTTTGAAAGTCGGTGTGGGGAGAGTGAAAGGTCTGTCTGTTTCTACTCTTCTTGCCTCTTATGATCTCCTCTTCTCCTTCGAGGTTCCAATATTGGAGATCAAGTAATGAAAAGGTCAGCGGGAATAAAACCTGCTCTGACTTCCAAATCTATTAATATTATTTTTGCCTAGAATCCTAGGTAGTCAAAACTCAAATTTCTCATTTTTTTCTAAAGCTATTACACTTGCAATGGATTTCAAAAACTCTATTTTGAAACTTGTAAGCCACAAATTACCTCTTTTCTTTCCCTCTATATTTCTCCTGTATCAGACCTCCATTGGATCAATAATATGACCCAACTGGGCAACAAGACAGGGCGGAGTAAGTGCCATAAACAAAAACATATTGGCTAGTTTCTCAAGTGTCTTACACTACCTTACAAGCACCAGCGTTTTTTAGGGCTTAAAAGAAAATTAATACTGTGTTACATGTAATTTTTGCCTTTTAATGATAAATAATGGGGTTCATCAAAGAGATGACAAAAATGAAGTTCAGGAGGATTAAGTAATGGGGTGTTAAGTTCACTCAATAAAAACAGCACCAAGAGTCAAATCTTAAGACCACTTTTCTTATTAATGCACCTCCTTTGCAGAAAGAAGCAGGAAGAGAAGAAATATAGAAGGTGTCAGTTAATCTTAGAAGTCCTAGGAAGGAAACATATGGCTACATTTTGCACTTGAAATCTGGCTCCATAAGAGATCACTTTGGCCTCTGATTGATACTTGGAAAAAACGAATAAACTAGTAATTTTCAAGCTCTTTCTTCACAACACTTACCTTCCATGAGTTGGGCAGAGTTTGTTTTATTTTTTAATTGCACATTAGTATCTAAGAAAGATAGTCTTTTTCAAAGCCACCAAAACAATTAGTGCATAGAAATGTCTCAATGTTAAATGTTTTAGATGGATATTTCTTGGTGGTTATTTCCACAACTTTTCTCTGTATAATGTTATGTTTGATATTAAAATATCCTTGAACAGCTTCCTTCAATAACGAGGCTCTAAAATGGTTTGGGATGCAGACTTTGTAATAGATAGTCTGAACTTACTTAATCCTCTTGACAATACTATGATGGTGAAGCCATGGAGGAAAGCAGGCTGAAGCAAGATCAGGAAATGGTCCATTTACACATAGCTAATATACATCAGACACAAGATTGGATGCTATTAAGTATACTTTTTAATATCTAGTTTAATTGAAGCATGAGATGGTAATGTTTTATTCTAGTAAAACTGCTTTCTCAAAAGGTACTCAGCGTTTTCTTAAGTGATGATTTATCTAAGAAGTGCCCTAAACCCTGTACAAAATTGCAAACTATAAGAACAAATGCATGAGGCCAGGAATATTTAGCCTTTAAAATTTGTGGTTCACCCATGTATTTGTGATTACCCTCAGTTAGTACCTGTGGGTGCTATTAGTTGCATATGGCATGTTGCCAAACTCAGTAGCAGGCCAATCAGCCAGAGTGAGAAGCTGCCTTAAATGCTTACAGAGCTGGGAAAACCCAATCAAAACCATACCAAAGCATTTCTGTGGTGATAATGTACATGTACTTTTTTCAGTGATGGGAATAAACGCCAAGGTCTTGTGTATGCTAGACTATATCCCAAAACCCTATATGTGCATCTTAATAGTTGTCCTTTGGTATAAATTTTTTCAAGAGGTACATGTTTTCTTAATGTCTAGAATGAAAATAGAAAGCAGTTAACTGTCTGTTACTGCCACAGAGTTGCACTGTCCCCTGGGACGGGCTGGTCCTTATAGGATAGTCCTTGAAGATTCCATCTTAAGCCTGAAATTTGGAGACCCAGTCATATCTTATCTCAGGAAACAGAACACAATTCTCCACCCACATTAATTGTTCATGAAACATGTTTGTTAAAGTCTAACATACCTACAGGAAAGTGTATAAATTTCTAAGTGCATGCTAGTTCATGAATTCTTATAGTAAACACATCATTGTAACTAATACCCAGGAAAGCAGAATATTAACAGCACTCAGTCCTCTTCATTAACCTTCATGTGCTTCAAACCGCTACTCCTCACATCCAAGGGTTACCATTATCCAGACTAACACCATGGGTTAGCCCTGCCTGTTTTTGACCTTTATATAAAAGGAATCGTTCAGCACGTGCTCTTTTGTGTCTGGCGTCTTTCACTCTGCATTTTGTTGGAGAGATATATCCGTGTCTCTGTGTGTGGTTTTAGATCATTCATTCCTCATTCACTCTGTATATGCCTCCCTGAACAAACATGTCAATTCTTCTGTGTCTCTCTATTGGTGATTGCATTACTTTATTGCAAATTAATTGAGCTGATAGATGCATTTTTTAATCTCAATAAATCCAGTAGCTGATAGAAAAATGCACCGGGCATTCTAAGCGCTGGCCCTTTCCATTATTTAACACTGGTATTTTGCTTTCAAGGTGAAATAGAAGTTGGTGTTGCAGCAGCTGTTTCAAATTCATCATCTTTACAAAGACACCAATGCAAAATTTGTGATTCTGTTCCGAAGCTATGACAGCGGAGCACAGAGAGGTTAATGACTGCCTTAACTCTACCAGCAAGAAGCCTCAGATCTCTCATATTTATAGTGAATGAATTCTATTTCTATCCTTTGTTCCAAAGCCTGCAGGGATCTGTGAAGAAAACAAAGAGCAAAACAAGATTTGCTTTTATTTACCCAAACAGAAATTGAGAAATTAGGAGAAAACCAGTGATCACAAATATCTGCTGTGAAAGCATAAACAAATATAAGAAGTAAATGGATTTTGGGGGTGAAGGGAGGAGGAAGAGTAGAGTCCCATCTTTCTGTCCTCTTCTCGGCCATGACTACTCTTGGTAGTTTTAAGAACTGCTAACACCCCTTGAATCTCTTATCACAGAGGCCTGACAGATTAGCGAATATTTGATTTGTGCCTTTGGATTGGAATCTGAGATTCTTTTTGATAAGTGACAAGAGAGAAATTCCTTCTCAGACTCAATATCTCACTCCCCATGAGCTGCTGAAATTCTTGACTCCTACCTATAAACACTTCCTGTGGCCCTTCTTCCTCCTTTTACCTCATAAGTCCAGGCTTGATGTGAATCTTCTTCATAGCACAGGAAATGTAAGGGCATCAGATTAATAGTAAATTGCAGCAGCAGAATGATTTCTACTCGAGGAAAGGACATGACTTGGAGCAGGCATGCCAAGCAACCTTAAATTTTATCATTTTTGCATATGTGTGTGTGTCCCTGTGTTTTCAGTTGTATCTATGTGAATGGGTGCACAGGCATGTGAAAGCAATAGAACAGCCTTGGCTATCATTCCTCAGGTGCTATCCACCCTTTTTCTTCTTTGAGTTTGGGTATCTCACTGGCCTGGAGCTCACCACGTAGGCTAGGCTGACTGGCCAGTGAGCTCTAAGGATCTGCCTGTCTCTGCCTCCCAGGCACTAGAATTACAAGGACACACCACCATGCCCAGTTTTTTCACATGGGTTCTGGGCATAAATTCAGGTGTTCATGATTTCAAAGCGAGTACTTTATCAACTGAGCTATCCTTTCCATGTCACAAATTTTATTTGCCATCTTTCTCCATAGTCCTTGCCCTCAGTGGTACTCATCCTTGTGCTAGGCACATGGTATAGGTGACAATTACCATTTTCTTGATGAATGTATGGTATTCAGAATTGCACTGCTAACTTCACATGTTTGCAAATAAGTTAAATGCTCAAGAATGATGGTCAGTTACAATCACAATTAATGTTCAGAGTTTACATCCCAGATACTAGAAGTTTCAGTTCTTTCTGTCAACACAGTGAGAATTTATCAGTGTGGGAAATGGGTCCTTTCTCTAGAATCAATGTCTTTCCTTCCTTTATTCATACATTCAACAAGTACTTCTGGTATACTTACTATTTGCTGTCTTTATTCTACGTGTTTGTAACTGATACATCAGTAAGCAAACCATAGGAAATCCCCTGACTTGATGGAGCTTACCTTCTGTAGAGCACAGAGACAACAACCAATACACGAAATAAATAAATGCATGATATAGAAGAACATACATGCTCACAGCATGAAAAATGTTCCTGAGCTTGGAGTAGAAATGTTTACTCCATTGTGGGGACTTGGACTTTTGCCCTGAATGAAAAATCATGTGAGACTTTTGAGAAA